CATGTGGTTCGAACAATAATAAAAGCATTAAACCCTTTAAAAATCTTGAACTTCAACTTTAGATAAATAATAAGAGGAAACCAAACAAATACTTAAGAGGACTTACATTATAAGTGCGTAGAAGTTACTGATAAAGAGATAATGAATAAAAAGAAAATTGTCGTAAAGCTAACAAATGAACACTTTAGAACCATAAATGTGTTCGGAAATTTTATTGAGGATCATATTTGGATTCGCGTTTTCGTGACAACTCAAAAGGTAGTAAAAAAAAATGGGACAAAATAAGAATATAATATAATCTGAATAAACCACTAAAATGTATAAAACATAGTAGATATTGCATACCTCTTGAACCAACAATCATCAGCACTTGTTGAATAAGGAATATAGCACAACCAGGATATAGCCCTGTAAATCAAAGAGAGAAGAAACATAATCAAGTTATGTTGACAAAAATTCCAAGAACATAATCAATAACCAATCATTTGTTAATAAGAAGAACACTAAAATAACATCTTTTAAAATTAATGAAATAATATTTTTTTTAATTAAAAATATAAAATATTTTACTGTCTTACTAATATTAGAAAGACAGTACATATAGAAAAATGATTATTCAACAGGTTATGATCTGCTTGCAATATATGGATGTCCATGTTTAGATGCGTAAACTATTTATTACGAATGGTTGAATGTGCACTTAACTAAATACCACCACCTTATATATATATATATATATATATATATATATAGATGCATAAACTATTTATTACGAATGGTTGAATGTGCACTTAACTAAATACCACCACCTTATATATATATATATATATATATATATAGGTTTTCTATCATAAAAAGTAAATAGACAATTAATTACATATTGTGTACATTACCCTAATACCCTTTAACCTAATTACATATAATACACTCTCCCTAATACTCCTCATGCTAGAGAACAAATACTGTCAATCTTTATCTTGTTAATAATGTTTTAAAATGCTAGATAATTCAAGCCTTTGATCAGCATATCTACAAGTTGTGAATTATTCAGCATATATGGAATAACTACTAAATCATTGTGTAGCTTCTACATGATGATATGTCTGTTAACCTCCATTTGTTTAGTTTTGTCCTTTTGCATTACGTATGAGCAATGCTTAAACCAATTTATTGTTACAATGTAAGCGCATAGGATAAAAGTTTGTCAAAGCAAAAATCAAGAAGTTGACCAAAGCGGGGATTAGATATGAACGAGAGGTGAAGATGATGATGGACAAGATTGAGGGAATTGACGGTAGGGAAAGGGAGGGACCACTAATGACGAATGACATAGCCAAGCAAGAGTCCTTAAAAATTGAAGTGGCTTTTGAACTACAGATGGAAGAGATCTTCTAGAGACAGAAGTAAAGAGATAGATGGATCAGGGAAGGGAATCGAAATACCAAATTCTTCCATAGCATTGCACGTCATCATTGAAGAAAAAACTGTGTGGAGGCAATGGTAATAGATCATAGAGATTTTGGATAATGAGGGGTTCAGAACGAAAGTGAGAGAATATTTTAGCAGGTCATATTAGGAAGAAGCAGATTGGAGGCCCAGACTGAATGGCACTGATTTCATAGTTCTTGAAGAACTCTACCAGGCTTGAGTTGGAGAGAGATTTCTCAGAAGAGAAGATTCATGATAATCTTATGTCGTGCAAGACAGACAAGACTCCTTATCAAAATGGTTTTAATATGGGTTCCATTTGGTATTATGAACTGTTTGCTTAGATAGTGAGACACATTTATTATAAAATAATAAACTAAAACACTTTAATTATCAAAACAATGAATTAAGCATTCAACCTCCCAGACTTTAGTTTTTGCACCGAAAGATCAAAAAACTTTAGTTTCCAAACCAGTAAAATGAGAAAGCCCAATTTGGGATTGAGACATTTTTAATATTTGACGAATCTCTTATAATTTTGACTAAAAAACTTAGGTACAATGTACTCTCTATGTGCAATGACCAAAGGTTCTTATACTTTAAATTAAGAGAAACCTTCTCATTTTTATTTTTGCACCAAGAGAAGAAAGTTCGTAATTAAATGAGGCTTCAAGACACGTTTATTTTAAGAGATAAAGACATTTTTTCTTTACGCCCAAGACTAAGAGACTAGAGAATGTAACTGTTGGAACAAAAGTGTAAAGGCATATCTTGTTTGGCAATGAGTCACCATAAAAGAAACGATCAAAATGCAGCCTCTACTACTTGAAAGCTCTCACTATTCCCAATACAGTTCAAACAGAAAAGATTTTCTGTGGTCTGTATAGGAAAGTAGAATCAACAAAATGGGAATAATGGTTCCTATATAAAACACGCGCATATAAGAGGCAAAGTTTTGATGCATACTAAGACATGTTTCATACAATATTAAAAGTATTAAAACCTCTAAAAATGTTGAACTTCTGCTTTGGATAAATAATAAAAAGAAATTGAACAAATAATTTGTAGGAGGACTTGCATTATGAATACTTACAAGTTAATAAGCAAGAGGTAATGAATAAAAAGAAAATTACTGTAAAGCCAAGAAATGAACACTTTAGAACCATAACTGTGTAAGGCAATTTTATTGAGGACCATATTTAGAGTCGTGTCTTCGCGCCATCCGTACGTGACAACTCAAAAGGCAGCAAAAATCACGGGACAAATAAGAATATTATATAATCTGAATCAACCACCTAAATGTATAAAACATAGTAGATATTGCATACCTCTTGAACCAGCAATCATCGGCACTTGCTGAAGGAAGAATATGGAACAACCAGAATATAGCTCTGTAAATCAGAGAGAGAAGAAAAATTATCAAGTTATGTTCACTTGCTGAATGAAGAATATGGCATAACTAGGATATATCCCTGAAAATCAAAGCGCAAAGAAACAATATCAAGTTATGTTGACAAAAGTTTCAAGAACATAATCAATAATCAATCATTTGTTAATAAAAAGAACACTGAAATAACATCTTTTAAAATTAATTAAAAATATTTTACTGTCTAACTAATATTAGGACAGTACACATAGAAAAGTGATAATTCAGCAGGATATGATTTGCTTGCAATATATGGATGTCCATGCTTAGATGCATGAACTATTTGCTAAGAATAGTTGAATATGCACTTTATTAAATATCACAGTCTTATATATATGAATTTTCTAGCATAAAAAGTAAATAGACAAGTAATTACATATACTGAATTTTAACCTAATACCCTTTAATCTAATTACATATACTACACTCTCCCTAATACTCCTCATGCTGGAGAATAGAGATTATCAATACTCATCTTGCTAATAATGTTTTAGAATGCTAGTTACTTAGGCCTTTGGTCAACATAGTTAGAAGTTGTGAACTAGTCGACATATATTGGGTACGTACTAAATCATTGTCTACCTTCTCTTTGGTGAAATGTCTGCCAACCTTGATTTGTTTGGTTTCGTCCTCTCGCACCAAGCTATGAGCAAAGGTTAGACTGATTTATTGTCACGATATAAGCACATCGAACAAAAGTTTGTTAGAGCTGAAATCAAGAAGTTAAGCAAAGAAGAAGCAATTAGATATAAAAGAAGGTGAAGATGATGATGGACAAGAATGAGGGAATTGATGGCAGGGAAAGGAGGGACCATTGACAACCAATAACTTTGCCAAGAGAGAGTCCTTAAAAGCTGAAGTGGCGTCTAAACTACAGATGGAAGAGATTTCATGGAGACAGAAATCAAGAGACAGATGAATAAGGATATGGGATCGAAATATCAGGTTCTTCCATAGTATGGCAATTCCTCGTCGAAAAAATAACTGTGGCGGCGATGGTGATAAATCATAAAGTTATTTCGGATAATGAGGAGTTGAGAACGGAGGGAAGAGGTTATTTTAGCAGGTCATATTGAGAAGGGACGAATTGGAGGCCCAGACTAGATGGCATTGACTTTAGAGTTCTTGATGAGTCTAGCAAGCTTGAGTTGGAGAGAATTTCTCAGAACAGAAAATTCATGACAATCTTATGTCGTGTAAGAGAGACAAAGCTCATGGTCCAAATGGCTTTAATATAGGCTTTGTTCAGGAGTTCTGAACGGTTATGAAGGAAGACATAAGGGATCTCTTTCAATAGTTGCATAAAATTGGATCCTTTGTTCAATCTCTTAATGCTTCTTTCCTTGCAGTTATTGCAAAGCTTAGTGGGATTCGAGACATCTAGGACTCTAGACCCATTAGTCTTGTGGTAGCATATATAAGCTAATTACCAAGGGCCTTGTGAAAAGAACGGCAAAAGTAATTAATAAAGTGATTGGGGACACTCAACATGCTTTTTTCAATGGTAGACAGATCCTGAATGCGACCTTTATAGCAAATGAAGTGGTTGATGAGTTAACTTACAAAAAGAGGGAATAAGTGTTATACAATCTCGATATGGAAAAGGCTACAATCAAGGACTCCATTGGGTCATTGCGTGGTCATTGAGAGAGGGGTTTTGGGCGTGGGAGGGGATTTGTAAAAAGAAAAATTATCTTAAAATTATTCATTTTACTATCTTTTGAGTGGTATTAAAGGAGATGAATGCTAGGGCTTTTGAGGGGAGTAAAGGGGAGATGTCAAAGATTAAGGATAGATGGTTATACATGTTTGAGTCTGTAATCTTGGGTCATGATAGAAAGTTAATTAAAAACTGGAGAGTTTTTGCACAAGGCTGGAGACAAAGTTTCCCCATAACCCAATTTATTTTAGAAAGTTAATTAAGAATTATATATATCGACTGAAATTAAAAGTACCAGAAAAAATCAGAGGACAAAAGGTTAAGTTAATGATAAGACATATATGCAAAAAAAAAAAAAAACAGCTGCTAGTCTAGAAATAGTAGAGAGAGAGAGAGAGAGAGAGAGAAACAAAGACAGCAGAACAGAAGTGATCAAATTATATTAAACACAGTAATCTTAATTTTCTTTCCCTAACTGAACGCAATGCCATAATACCTAAAACTAAGTTTCTTCAAACTGTCTTAAAGACTAAATATGTGAAAAGGTCTTGAGCCATAACCCAATAGATTGGCATACAGAAAAGTAATATTTCATAATTTCATCAAACATATAATACTAATCTGAGACGAATCTCATGGTGCAAAAAGAAATCGTTAAATAGACATTCACACAACTCACTATTTATTTCAACTTTAAAAGAAAAAAAAAGCCAAGCCATAGAAAAACAACAGCCTTATAGCATTCCAGAACATATGAAAGACCTCACTGGTACAGGAAGCTGCAGGAGGGGGTTGTGAAACACGTCTTAAATGTCATTCTTCTTAGAAAAAAAAAAGAAAGAAAAAAGAAATGTAAATGGGATAGATAGAAAAGCAACAAAACAAACTAACTGCAAATCGCTTCAAACACTACATACCAACGTATTTCCTGTAGCCTTTCTTTACCATTTGGTGGTTATAATCCCTAGAAAAGAAGAACAAAAGTAATTAGGTCTAGCGGCAATATAAGATAAGTGAAAAAGTTCTCATAGTAGCAAGCAATCGACGTGCAAAAGTTCTCATAGTATCAAGCCTGTTCAAGCATCCTTAAGCAATCAACGCGCAGAAGTTCACTACACATTTATGTTCAAGCATCCTTCCGCATTCTAACCATTCTCAAGAAAAATCTTAGATGTTTTATCATATTCCTATTGGGAAAAATGAACCAAAGAAGGTCAAACAAACGATTAAGACGGCGAAGATAAAATAAAGAACTAAAAGACTGGTTATAAATTACAGTCTCTTCCTTTTACCTAGCTTCTTCTAATCGTTTGCTCAATCTCCCTTCAAGGATTAGAATCCAAAAGAAGCCCAAAACCTTAAATCTCCAGAACAGAGAAGACCCAGAAGAAGACGAGCCCTCTTTTCAGCGGTCTTCTTACACAGAAACCCTCAAAGAACCCCTTTCTTGTTTTTGGCTCCGACCAGAGAGGACGAAATCCACCTCAATCCTCGGCCTTCGTTCTCTCTGAATCCCTTACCCAGAAATCGTAAAGTCCGACAAGTCCAACATCGAATGAAATGAAAGCTCCCCCCCCCACCCTCCCCCGCCCCCCAAGTAAATCTCGATTTTCCTCTAATCATCTGCCCCGAAACCCCTTCCCTTATCGGCCCCAGCTTTCACCTTTATAGCCACTGCCTCCTCGCCGTCACGCGTAAGACTTCTGACCCCGCCGTACACAGCGCACTCCAACACCTGCTCCCCTGTTCTCAGGTCCTTTCTCTGACTCCATATTGTGAACGTGTTCCCTTGCTGCTTCTCTCGTGCTCGCCTCTTCGGGCGTACCTTCCTGTCGTCTGCTCTCCCCTTGAGTTATTTCTCTTTCCGTGCAACGCCAAAAACAGACGAGAGTGTCTCCATTTGTCTGCTCGCAAAGGAATTCTAAAGAAGTCCCCACTTGCTAGGCACCCTTAAGAAATTTGAAACCATGACCTTCTGTCTGGGGTTGTGTTTGGTATGGGTTTTATGGTGATCATCGGAAAACCATAGAAAGGCGCCCTTAAGAAATTTGAAACCTTGACCTTCTGTTTGGAGTTGTGTTTTTGTATGGGTTGTAAGGTAACAGATTTTATCGGCTTTAAAAGAAAGGTTTTGAACTCGGGCTTGATTTTAAATTCGGTACCGAATTCAAAGAAATGAAAATGGTCTTGGTGGATGTTTTTCTAGACATTTCCAGTAATTATATTTAGTAGTAAAACTTTAAATAATAGTTAACACGATCAACTTACTGATGAACACATATATTATAATACTAATTTTGTATTCTTTAAATATTATGAAAATTTACAATTAATCAAAAGAATTTTTAGAAATTTGATTTTTGTTTTTTTTTTGTGTTTTAGGATGATTTGAAAATGATTGAAAAATAGTAATAAAATACTACTTTCGTTTTTTTCTACTCTCTTCAACTTGTAAATTAAATTTCATTTCAGTCAATCACCGGCAATGTTCATAATTATCAATTAATAAAATATATATATATATATATATGTATATAAGAATTTTTCTTCCTTTACTAATATATTTACCGCCTAATTCAAATAAAATTTTAAATAATATTGTTTTTTTACTCTGCTAATATGAAAAGTAGCAATATAGCTATTATCTACATATATATATATGTATGTAGCGACTTATGAATATTATCATGAATATTTTTATCTGATTTAATATTTTAATTTTATTGTTGATCTAAATGTTTTCAAAAAATATAATTAGGATCTCCAAATTAAAGATGAGTTAATATATTATATAATTATTACCAATAACTTAATCTTTACTTTTAATAATTGTTTTGACTGAACTTTAAAATACATTAAAGTTCAATATCTGTTCTTAAGAACTTGGAATGTATTGAAGAGATTTAGAATAGTTATTTATATTTTGGCATTTATGGTATTGCTTGATTCGGAGGTAACACAGAATGCATTACTGAATTAATTAATTAATTTTTTCAACAACAAAAATTTAGAAAAATATTTAGTTCTTACCAGAGTTTAGATTAAAAAGTAGACAATGAATTTTAATAAAGAAATTAGGCCCTGCCCTTAATTTTAGATTATGTGAAAGTCACTTTACGAGTTGCAAGTATCTTCTTTTTAAAATTTATTGTACTCTCAAGAATCAGAAAGACTTGATTAAATTAAATAATAAATAAAAAAAATTTAAACCGTTAATTTTTAGAATTTTAAATAATTAAGAAGAGACATAAAACTAAAATTGATCCCTTCATATTTATATTTATGTTTGTTTTTGTTCTAGGATACAGTATCCAGGAAGCTCACCATATAAAATCTTCATGTGAGGAGGCTCTGATTAGATTTCTCAAAGAGTCTGGGACTATCTCTACCAATGACCGAAAGCAAAGCTCTTGCTTACATTTCTCTACTGCCTACAAATCTCATAGAACCATAAAACTAAATTGTTTACACTATAATTCCTCACATCCCATTTGATCAAACTTTTGTGCAATTTTTATTTAATCAATAAATTCAAAATGCACCATAATTTTCATGTTTCAATTATTTTTTGCACTTGAGCTGCATTTTCCAATTCTCACTTAGCCAACTACGAATTGAAAGTTTTCACCGACTATGTCAAAATGGGAATAATCTAACATCTGGATAAAATTGTAGACTAATTATATTAAAAAAAGATTGAGGTATTTAGAGGAGATTTTTACTATCAACTCTAAACTAACAACAATAAACATATTAAGCTTCTGAACATATTAAACATAATAGCGCAATCAATGTCGTCACCCTATATTTTTCTTGCTTTATATAAAACTTGAAAATAACAATTTGTAGACATTTGTTTTCAAGACAACTTCATATCTTGTTTCGCACATTCTTATCAGCATCGGAAACACATCGCACAACTGAAAATACACTCACCTTGAAATACACTCAATGAACCTCTTTCGTGGCATCTCAATAAATCAGTTGCCAGGTTCAGTGCTGTTTGGTCTCGAAACTGGTTGAATTCTTTGATAAGGTTTCCTAGTTAATGTCTCTCCTCGCAGTGCAGCAACATACCGATCATTTGTGTCCTCCTTTCTCTGCAGCTCCCCAAGATACTCTCCCAATCTTTCTCGGTTAACTCTCCCCATCATCTGATTCATAAAACCATCTACTAAGATGTCTTAAAATTGGAGGGAAAAAAAATTGCTAAAGCAATACGTGAAGCCACTAAATTAGGAAAAAAGCACTTGGCACAGAAATCCCAGACAAGATATTAAAAACATGGAAGCCAAGACTAATGGCAAAATCATGAAAAAAAAAATGTGTATCCGTGTCTGTGCTAACAGTGCATGAGGGCTACTCAATGCAAAACACGAATATAAATGATGTTGCTTAGGATAATGATGCTTGGGTTCTTTCATCATGGCTAATTTGACAGAATCATGCTGTAATATAAGGCAATTCTACTTATGATTCTAATATTGGTTTTAACAATGCTAAATTTGAGGTACTGTCATCCCACCCTAAATTCCTTAGTTACGGGAATTCAACACCCACCCGAAAATATAGGAACTGAGTGTCCATCATAAGGAATTAAACATAAGGCAGTTGTAAAAAACTCAACAAATTATTCTAATCATACATACTAAGACTAATAAGAGAATTAGAACGAAGAATTGACTAGAAATCGAATTATAGTTGAACTAAATGCAAGTATTTCTTAAGTTCTTGAGATGTAAATTAGTCCTGCCATGGAAAAGAAAGCATAAAATATTAGTGTGAGAAATAACAAAAGATTATTCAGGAAAACTTGAAAAGATATCTTATGTTGTGACTAAAACGATTCTTAATTACCATGCAGACATAAAGAGTATTCTTCAAGCCAGCAATGTTCTTAAAAGAAAGAAAAAAAGCAAAAACAAAAAGAAAAACAAACTATCCTTTTATGTTCTTAAATATGAAACTCTAACTTAAATTCCAAACATTTTTACACTGTATCAGTAATAATAATAATAATAATAATAACAATAATAAAGTTACAATAACCGCACTATTTAGCAATTGTACCAAATACCATCTTGTACTTTTAAGACAATGTCTATAATATAGTTCACACATGTTGCAAAAAGAACTGTTCACAAATTAAACATTCATTTTTTAAATATTATTATAAAAAATTCTCAAATCTCCAAATTTCTGTTTCTTCTGAAAATTCTGAAAATCTGCCTTTCCTTTTTTTTTTTGGAATAAAAGATGATTTAGTAAGATAAGAGGAGAGGAGTACAATCAAAAGAAAGATACCCTCCACATGTTACAATCTATAGGGAGCAAAAAAATTAAAACAGATATGGTACATCTAAGAAATTATGGGCCAAAAGTAATAATCTCCCAATCTTAATGGAGGACAGAAATAGCTAGGTCCAAGAATTTTTCATGCTCTTCGATCCATAAGAATTTTTCTGTTTCTCTTTCCCCTCTCTCTCAAACTTTCTCTAGATTCTATTTTCATCCTTGCTATTCTCTTATTTCCAGATTCCTCCCCCATATCTTTATTATTCTCAAAATTAATTCCCTATTCTATATTACCACATAATTATTTAAAATTCAATATTTTTCCCAATTCGGCTCCAGTAAAGTACATATCAAGACTGGCATGGACATTAAACAAAGACTGTAGGATCTTCATTTCTCTATGATTAGGATTCTTTTTATGCATAATTGTTCCTGACTTGCTTTAACTAGCATCTTGCTGCTTGAATTGCTAGCCATTTTCTGCTTGGTTTTGCAGCACTTTCAGATGTAGAAGATAATGATGGTATAGGATTTTTTTTGGGGGGGGGGGGGGGGGGAGGAATGGAAATTTTGACATTTTAGAAAAGAATATAGAGATCCGAGATATGTAAATTTCTAAAAAGAAACTCTTTTTAATAACAGAAAATTACTCTTTTAGAGTCGTTTTGGGTTTAGCTCATTGATGCAAAATATGAAGCTCTTAAAGTGGACATAGTTTAATAACAGGAGATATGAGATAGAATCAATAAAGGAACATAAATATTTTTCGAAGTTAACTAAAAGGAATATGAAGATTTAAAGTCATTTTTCAATTTTTGGAGAATTCTATAATAAAAGAAAATAGAAAGATTCATTTTCCTACTTTCTAGATTTCATATTTGCCTAATTCTTTCTATTTACCTTATTTTTTTATTTACTAGGTTTTCTAAATTTCCTTATTTTGATGTATTTAGTTCCTATAAATAAGATTCATAGCTTAGTTATAAAATAGACTATTCATGCCAGTTATTCAAATTGAGATATTGATTTAACTATTGAGATTTGAAATTCCCAAATTTGATTCTTAATAAATTTTTTCCAAGTTTTCTCTTCAAGCTCTTTTGTCCTAACATCAATTTGTCTCAAAGCCCAAACTCAATCCATTATGCTAAAGTTTCCTAGATTTCCTATTTCTCTAATTCTTTATATTTAATTTATATTCCTATTTACTAGGATTCCTAGATTTCTTATTTTTATGTATTTGGTGCTTATAATAAGGTATTTAGCTCAGTACTTAAATATTGAGATATTTCTTATATTTGGTGCCTATACTTCTCGACAAATTTTTTCCTATTTATGCTATTCATGACAACTATTCAAATATTGAGATATTTCTTTTTAAAAAAAAAATATTGAGATATTTATTTAATTATTGAGATTCGAGATCTCCAAGTTTGATTCTTTAGAAATTTTCTCTAAATTTGATCTTTAACCTCTTTTTTTCCTATATCAGTTTGCATCAGAGCCTAAACTCGACTCATCAGGCTGCCCCTAGTTTACTCATTCTAACTTCACAAAATACAACCCCACTTCTGCCCAGTCTGTCCTTGTCTAGTCACCTCCAACCTAGTTCTCGATATTCTTATACCAGCTCTAAAGGATCTTAGGTGTGCTCTTCTAATTTTTGAGCTTAGTTTGGTTGAATTCCTGTCCTATATTCACTTTCCGCAAGTTCTTTAGACAAAAATTTGCTTGGAGTTAGAGAGAAATTCAAGATGGATTTAAAACATGAATATATTTGATCATATATTTGTAATTACGTTCTATCGCGTATGTAGTTCAGTTATAAAGGACGACTCAAGATGATCTTTATGAACTTTTTGATTAATATGGATATGCGGAGAAAATTAAAATTAGTTCGAAATTCAAGGTTGCAAGTTTTTCTAACTCATGAATTTTGTGAAGATGCTAGTTGGACTCGAGATTCTTTTCAAGAATATTTTTCATATGATAGATATTATAGAATAGAACTTCAATATCATTTTTCGATATCTAAAATAGTGAAAGCAAGTGTCCCCCCTATAAGAGATAATAAGTAATAAGAGCAATTTGACACATTTTATTCTTATAAAGTTTTAAAGATATAAAAATAGTTATCCCAGATTTAAATGATAAGATTAATATGTAAAAAATAAAAATGAAAAATGTAGAGAATCTTGAATCTTCAATTGCACAAGAACCTCTCATATCTGAAACGTCCATAGAACATGAAGAACAAGTAAAGGATGCAAAAGTGAATGAATTGGTAAATAAGCAAAATCTTATGGAAGTACTACAACTTAATGATCAAGAATTAACTAATGGTACTGAAGGTACGTACAGAAATAAGGTATTTGAGATAGTAGAAGAGAATGGGAACGAGGTTATTATTCTTACTGATCAAGTTGAGTTTTCTAGCGATGAATCTCTTAATTTAGTTATAAGCAATGATGATATTGAGATTGAAAATGACATTGTTCTTGTTGATTTTAAGAAGTAAGAGACTCTGCTTGAAGATAGTATTTCACATTTTTTGGCATTTAACAGCAACGAGGAAAGTGAAGGTGGATGATGGCTATTTCCAGCCATTATGGCTCCTTAAGTTGTCTTAAAACAGTGATTCTTTCTTAAATCTTACCCTTGCTCAAAATGAAGGTGGATGATGGCTCTTGGTTCCTATCTAGGACAATCCTTGGTTTGAAAATATTCCTTTAGCAGCCCATTTCCCTCAACTTTAGATTTGTCCCAAACTCACCATGCCAACATTTCTTGTTTCAATAATATTTTAACAGTTCTCTCTCTTGAAATATGTCTTCTTTTGAGAAATCTAAATGATTGGGAAGCTGATAATAAAACTTCTCTAACTCAGCTACTTGATAACGTTGTTCCATTCCAATAATCCTATCGTGAAATCTGCTCTCTGCAACCCTCAGGCCTTTATTCCTAAAAATCTTACTGTAAATTCTTGACTCATAATCCAATTTCTCATAGTGACATTTTTAATATATGTTTTAAAGTGTTCTTCTCCCAGTAAAGTTAAGGTTTTTGTCTGAAATATGGTTTCGATAGGCTGAATAGTTATAATTTGCTCCAAGCTCGACAACCTAATCATGCTTTAGCCTCTGGGATTTGTGTGACATTTTTAGAGTTGAAAGATTCATAACCATCTATTTCTACATTGTGATAACCTGGAGAATTCAATGTTGGTTGTTTAATACATTGTTTTTCTTGGGCTTCCTAGCACAACTGAGGGTTTTTACAATTTCTGTGGAGAAAGGTATTTCTGCAGAGAAGGCGTATGAAGATGGAAGTGCTGTTCGGGGTTGGTGTATTGAGGTGATTAGGAATCTCAACGACTGGGAGGCTGCCAAGTATGCTGAGCTTCTCCACTTGCTTTCTGAGGTGAATATGATTATAGAGAGGGATCAGCTTGTTTGGAAACATAGGAAGAACAGGATGTTCTCGGTCAATTCCTATTATGAGCTTTTGATGGGAGAAGGTGATAGTAGATTCGGTTGTTTCCCTGCCAGACGGATTTGGAAGGCCCAGGCTCCGCCAAAAGTTGTCTTTTTTGCTTGGGAGGCATGCAGAGAACGCATTCTGACGATTAACAACCTTATGAAAAGAGGCAGAGTGATGGTGAATGGGTGTTATATGTGCATGCAGGAGGTGGAGCCTTACAAACATCTTCTATTACCGTGCCCTGCAGCATATTCTATCTGGACTATGGTTTATGGCCTTTTGGGAGTTAGTTGGGTGATGTCGGGATCGGTTAAAGATGAGATTGAGGCATGAGAGAGTATTTGTAAAACAAAAGACTTACTAATATGATTCCTTTGACTGTTTTTTGGGTTATTTGGAATAAAATAAATAAAAGGGGTTTTGATGGGGTGGTTAGTGACTGGTTAAAGATTAGAGATAAATGGTTTCACTATTTTGGTTCCGTTTATCTTGGGCAACACAAGGAGGATTTTGGGTATATTATAGATAAATTAACAGAAAAATAAATAATTTTGTATATCGATTACATCTCCTTGGTGCTGTTTATAACTTTTTTTTTAAATAAGGTGCTATTTATACTTTTTATTCTTGTTAGTTGAAAAAAAAAACAATTGAGGGTTTTCTTTTGTGTTCGAATTTGAAGAAAGATGCAAAAGCTCTTTGTTTTTTTTCATTCTTTGTTGGGTTATTGATGATTTGGATTCAGAGAAGCACAATAATTTTTAGGGCTTACTCTTCACAATTTATGATCTTTGGGGATAGTCTTTCTTTGCCTCCATTTAGACTAAGGCACATGGGCACTTGAAACATTTATCTTTGTCTTCTTTTACATAGAGATTTGTTAGCTATTCTTTCCCAACACTAGTTGGCCTTTTTTTTTCTTTTTCTCTATTTTCTATTCTTTTTCTCTAAGTGAGGATATCTAATCCTCCTTTCTATCTACCATTCTTTTTTCTTCGTTTTTAATAAGATATCTTTTTATTTAAAGAGAAAATAAATTCTTAGGTGTGATATTAAGAAACTTAGGGGCAATGCCTAGATTTTCATGACCCAAAACTCTTATGCAGGCAAATGACCCTAATTTGTTCTAAGTCACATTGTCTTCCTCTTTGAGCAATACTCAAGCAATAACACCTACCTCCTTCCTCAGAGGCTATCTTGAAAGCCTTTGATCCGATTACTAACAAGTTTTATCCAACCATTAAATCTAAACCTACTTAAACTCAAAAAAAAAGAAAAAAAAAATGCTTACCTGCTGTAATTTAACAAATGTTATTATGCCAACTCAAGCCCACTACTATATCGTTGGAGGTATTAGATTCCTTTGTTTTGTGGGGTTGGTGAGTTTGTAGATAGCCTTAACAAATCAACCAAACAGGAAAACATACTGATACGGAAGAACCTATAGTAATAAAAGGAAATTGAGTTGATTAAATCTTTCTATTTGTCATAGATTAATAAACTTACCCATTAAACTTCTGCTTTCTTGGTTCTACATTACCGTGTCTTCTTCAAAGTTGGCACAGGCAACAAGATTTGGTTTTAGGATGCTTTTGGTGGTGGGACTCCATTCCCAGGTTTCAATTCCCTACTTTATTCAATCTAGCCAGATCCAAGAACAGGGTAGAGAATAGGTATAGTTAAAACAGGATTGAGAATAGGTATTACTCTTGTTTGAACTCTGCCTGTACCAAGTAATGAATTCTTTTTCACTGATAAACCAACACACAGTTTTGATAGACTTGAGATTAACACTAACCACATATTCAACTCCTATTAAGTGATAAATTCCGCACAATCTTCTGTCTTCTTACAAACTGACAATAATTTGGATTTGCTCAGGAACAAACGCTAATTGCTGGAAAATATGAGACAAACACAAAACAAGAAACTTTAAAACAAGATGTATGCAACACCATAAATATAATTCAATTTTTATTTCATAGGAAAAAAAGATGAAACCCTCGGTAAATTGATCAGCAAGTACCTTTAAGAATGAAAAGAAGGTATTTCCATATTACCTTCCGTTCTACTTTACTTTTTAAAACATATTCTAGAGAATCAAACAGGGGAGTAAACACTTAGTTTCCTGCACTTGCGCAAATCAAACAGAAAAGAACAAACAGACGCAGTAGAAAGAGAAATAGAGACGAGAGTAGGAACAACGTACAAGGGATTCTGGTCTGGTAGTCTGGCGGAGTTGGGACTCGAGATCGGAGTTTCGAGAATTGGTGATCTGCATGACGCCGTAGCCAATGATTCCAGGTACGACGCCACATAGGGTGGCAAAGGTGAGAAAGAAGGGCTTGGAATCTCGAGTCTTCCTCACAATCCACCTCCATGTCTCGCTCTTCTCCCACAGTATTGACATCTTTTCTGCCCCTTTTACACTCTCAACTCTTCGAACACTTTTCCAAAAATAAAAATAAAGCCTTCTGCAGGTTTCTTCTATGCGTTATTATCGATCAAACTCATTTAACTAAGTCTATGCCTTGGATCATTAAATTAAAGAAAAAGTAGGTTCATAATCTGACCTAAGTAAACAATAAAATTTTTATAATTATACATAAATAATATAAATTTTATTTTACGTAAATGAAGGAAAAAATTTAATAACAATATAAAAAATATTACATCTTAACTTGTAGTAAAAAAAATTTATGTAAATGAGGTGTAGGAAATATATAATTAAGAGTTTATATACTATAAGTTCAGAGAGCTCATACTCAATTAAGAATTAATCACATAATAATATTATCACATTCATATTTTATTTTTCTATTTAAATATTAAATAGATAATTATTATTTATTATCTATATAATCATATTAATTTTATTTTTTATATTATTAAAGAGTAAAATAAATTAAGGTATTAAATAAAAAGTAAATATGAACATTAAAGAGCAAATAAATTAAGACATTAAACAGAAAATAAATTAGAATATTAAAAAAAATAAATCAAAATGTAGAGTTGATATAAAAAAATCAAGAAAATAAACCATTTTATATTACAAAAAATTTGTATATATAGAATTGTAATATTTAATAAAATACATCAATTAAAAAGTTATTCTTAGCATGGTATTAGAGTTTTTGTTAAGAAATTCTTGAACTCTTTTACAAACCATAATCAACCTTCATTACTAAAATAAAAAAACATAAAAGGGATCAGCCGTTATAGTTGGCTACTTCCTTCCTGCTATCGGCCACCACATAACCGACCACCTCATAACCGACCACCTCCACCACCAGTAGTAGCAAGTCATGACTTCCGATGCACTCCTCTTTGTTGCTTTCATCACAACCAAACGAAAACAACTTCATATAACCACGTAGTCTAGGTAAATTTTTTCGACAATTAATTACCAGATAATTCTTAAAAGATGTTGGAGAGTACGTCACAAATTGATGGAGCAAATCCTAATATGGCAACTTTAACTCTTAATAAATTCAGAGTGGAGATTGAAGATTAAAGGAATGATTTAAGCTCCTATAGAAACAAACAAGTACTGATTTATTGATACACTTAATTATGACTTCTACCGAGTTTGTTCGTCGGGTAGAGGAATCGAGTTTGGCACTTTTTTTTGCTCTCTTAGTGGCAAACTAGTCGCATCTTGGTCCTCCAAAGTAGACCGCAGGCTTAAGCCCCTCTTCTCCCCTCAAGTTGGGCCTTCCAAACACTTTGTAGGTCGATCTTGATGGCATGTCCATGGGTTATATGATATCAGATAGTGACACGATACTCGTTGGCGACAACTCTAAACTAATAGAAGGCAAGAAGCGAGTTAGTACTGATAAACTCCCGGGAAGTGAAAGGAAATAATTGCGAAGTAACAATACTTCAGGCTACTCTGTCCCCGATCAAGTATTAAATAACGAGGCTGAATCCACTAAACAAAAATCTCAACCTAGGAAAAAATGACACCGGAAGATGTTAGAAGCCTGAAGAGTAACGAGCCTCACTACTAAGAAACAACTAAGACCGAAAATCCTAGCCCAAGAAGAAAGCTCAAATGTAGTCTGGGTATGGGTGCCCGTAAAGGTACACATGTCTCGTAATGCACATATATCATACTTGCCCTCCATGTATGTCGGTGTTATAAGATCTCGTAATGAACCAATCGAAGTGACCTTATACCCTATAGAAAAATCGAAGGCAGGCAAACTCCTTGACACACGTGTACAGTGGTCCATGCGCGAACGAAGCTGCCCATACGTGTGCCAGGCATATGGCCCAACCCACATGCCCCATGTGCACCAAGGCGCATGCACGGTCGCACGAACTGCGCGCACAAGCACATGATAGCACCTATGTGCGCGGTCTGCTGATCTTGTGCGCGCCCCCACAAGGACGGACTAGGAACCGACCCAGACAACCTACCATACAACCCACGGGCTTGCCTTGCGCAACCCACGCAAGCCTGTCAGTGTGCCACCACTTTTTATTTAATTAATATTTCAAGTTTAAGGCTTTTGGACCCCACCTTTTAATTTCTTATTTTTTTAATTTAATTCTCATATGGCTAAATTAATTTCCCCATGTGTTTTACATGGAAATCAAATAGGACGAAGTCTATCCTATTTTTAATTATTATTCTAATGTAAATTTTATTTTTAAGATTATTTAATTAATTATCTTATATTTAGATTGGATAAAATAAATATTTTATTATGTAATTATCTTAAAATAAGATAAAATTTTATTTAAGATATTATTTTATTTATTTATTCAAGAAATTGTAATTATCTAGAATTATTTCAGGAAAGCTTATAAATAGATATTTACCCATACGTTGTAAACACAATCAATTATAATTAATTTGAGAGAAATTCTTAAAAGCTTAGGTTTTTCTTCAATTAGTTTTTTGCTAATTTTTAGTTTCTTCAAGTTATTTAAGAAGCATGAATCTTTACAAGTCTTGTTGAGTCAAGAAGCGGGGATCAACTTATCAATAAGTCCATGACATTTTTTCTTTTCTTGTTTAATTTCCTTATTCTTTGTTTTTGTATTCTTTTTACAAATATAGATTTAATTAAAATGATGAGTTTTATAGGCAGTTAAGTTTTAATATTGCATATGTTGAGTGGGTTATAGGAGTTGATTCTATCCACTCTATACCCTTCCACACCAGACAACTATGATTCCCAATCAGAAGAGGAGTCCCACGACAAGTGAAAATAGTAAGTCTCACACACCGATCCAAGTAAAAAGCAACAACTTATAGTTCTCTTTGCTTATAGTCCTTATTGAGCATCAATTTTACCACTAGTTATTTACTTTCCTTAAAATTTATGTTTCCTACATCATTAAAAAAAAAAAGAAACTAAGGAAAGAAATCTTGATCAAGTAACCTATTAATCAGGAAAGTACTATCTTTTGGTGCTCAACAATTCTTCTTACTACAATGCAAAAATTGAACTCTTCAAAGGAAAAAAAATACATATATAATCCTTCTTTTACAATCAATGTGCATTCATACTTATACATATCATCAAGCACCAATGCTCTATCTTTATTATAGAACACAGCGTACAACGGGTATAGATTGGTAGGAATATATTTCGAATTTTTCCTTAAGATAATATCAAATCCCTACATCTTCTATAATTGTCTTTTCTTGTACTCTCAGTCTCCTTTATTGTTTGCATCTTAATGCTTTAGTTCCATAACATATTTGAGTATCCAATTTGCATCATAATGCTTATCATTGTA